CTGACAAATGGATTAAGAAAATGTGGTATTTATACACAATGGATTTTACTCAGCCATGAAGAAGAATGAAATCTTTTCATTCGCAAGTAAATGAATGGAACTGGAGAACATCATTCTGAGCAAGGTTAGCCAGACTCAGAAGACCAAAAATCGTATGTTCTCCCTCATATGAGGACTTTACATCTAGGGCACATACAGCAATGTTGTAGGACTTGGGTCACATGCTAAGGGGAGAGCACATATGGGGGAGGTATGGAGATAGGTAGGAAACCCAAAACATGAAAGTGTTTGATGTCCCCACTGTAGAGGAACTAAGACAGAAACCTTAAAGCGACAGAGGTCAATATGGGAAGGGGATCAGGAACCAGTGTAAAGAAAGATCAGTTAGGGATGAATCAACCTGGATTGTAACAACTTGTACATGAGAGCAATGCTAGGAATCTCTCTGTATATCTATCCTTATCTCAACTAGCAAAAACATTTTGTCTTTCTTAAAAAAATAATAATAATCAGTGGGAGGTTTTTTGCCAATATAAATGGAAAAAAACGTGCAAAGGAAAGTTAAAGAGAAAGAAAAGAAAGAAAGAAGACAAAAAAAAGAAAAGAAAAAAATATGGTGGAAAAAGAAGCCATGTGGTCTTAAAAATAAATTATTTTAGCAGGACAAAGTGGCACACACTTGTAATCCAAGCAGTGGAGAGGCTAAAGCAGGGGGATTGAGAATTTGATGCAAGCTTGGGTTACATAGCAAGTTCCAGGCCAACTTGGGCTATATAGCAAGACCCTGTCTTAAATAAGTAAGTAAGTAAATAAATAGCTTTAAAAGGCTTATTAACAGGACTGGGGGCATGGTTAAAGTAGTAGAGTGCCTACCTAGCAAGCATAAGTCCCTGAGTTCAAATACCAGAACTGCCAAACAGTTATGTTATGTTTATTAACATAACAAAAATCACATATGAATTTGTCCCCTCTGGTGTGTGCTTTAATGGAAAAAAATTGCTTACAACTTTCCCCAATGTCCATAATATAAATTTAACAAAAGACTTAGAGATGATTCTGAGTTCTTTATTGTATCTAAATTTCTATGTAAGTTCACTAAAATGTATAAGTAAACAATATCCCAGTGAAAGTATTACCACTCAGAGGAAAGTTCATCTTCTTGAACAGAAGGTTAGATTCAAAATGTTTTTCATAGAATGTAAGCTAATTGTATTCACATTATTTTAAAATTTTAAAGGCACTACAGAATCACTTTTAATAAGCATCTTGTATAATTTTTTAAAAGGAAGCACCCACGGCCTTAGCTCAAAGTAATGACAAGGGAGAAAGGGAACAAAGTATTATATTGAGGTAGAAAAGCAAAGCAGATTTCTTCCTTCTCCACCCACATAGACAAAAGCTCATCTCCATCCTACAAGGACAAACATTAGCAGCTGAGAATTTGAGTTCATTCCATCTCTCTCCATCCCCTCCACCCCCACTCAAACTTTCCCACAGACCCTTTCCCCTAACTTTGACACTTTGTGTACCACAACTTAACATGTAGTTCTTCAACTGCTTTTGGTGCCTGGAATTAATTCCTGGGACTAATAATTCTTTGAGGATTTAAAAAAATGTTTCTATAAATAAATAAATAGGAATGAATGACCCCATATGAAAAATAAAGGCCAAATTTATATCAAGAGAGTAAGAAAATTGAAACCAAAATATCTAAAGAACAGTATGTCTAACATTCAAATATTGAATTAAAGAGAATGATGAAAAAAGTGTTAGTGAAAATATCAAAATACAGCCCTTAAATGAAAAGGTCTAAATTAAGTAGATCAAGACAATGGTAATAGTAATGATATACAATTGAAGTCGCAAAAAGAATTAACCTATCTGAGGTCATCGCATAAGACTGGAAGAGCTTATTAGCATCTTTAATGCATATGTCTCAGACAGTTGTTGGCAATTATTTTATAATTCTCATCTTCAGGCTTGTGCACTTACTAGAGATTTATCTAAAGAAGGACTTTTAGCATTAAGAAAATGTAATATTGATCTGGGAGTGTTTTCTTCTGTAACTGCTATCTCAGATTCTTTATCTTAATCTGTCAAGAGAAAATTGAGTGTTGAAAAGAATTCAATTGTCAGAGTTACCCGAGAATCCCCAAGTGGTTTCCTATGACTTGTCTCACAGGGCCATCCACGAATCATTTAGGCATGCACTTATTATCATGTATACATCTAAGCAAATGTAATAACTACTTAATTTTAAATGCCAACAGGGAAACTGTAATTGTCACAAACACAACAGTCCAGTGTGTCATAAGAAAATATGGGGAAAAAATCTACCAAAAAGCATTTTTCTGACATTTAGAAAATTTGCAATTGGTTTAAACCAAAAGGGTACTTCAGGCTTAGAAGATTCTACGCCAAGGTTCATTTATGGGTGCATATTTCTGACCAAGTTCAAAATCCCTGAAATTAAATACATAAAAGAGAAAATAGTTTCACCTCAGTAGGGCAACATTAGTAGAAGCTGTTGAGGAAGAAGAAGGCTTCTGCCCTGAGATGGGTGTGCTTCTGGTGTCTGGTTTCCACCAGGAGGTTGCCCTCTCCCTCAATGCAGCTGAAGCACCTACTAGGATGAGGTCATGGCTGTGCCAGTTTCACTGGGTCATGCTCTCTCAGCACATTCTTTCTCCCTCTCCTTCCCAAGAAGAGAAGGTGCTGTAAACAAGTCATCCTGAGACAGAGCTGCCACAGAGAGTGATCACATCCTAAATTCAAAATTCCTGGGACCACTTGCTCTGCTTTGACATAACCAGAACTTAAAGCAGCACAGATTTGTCAGGAAGGAAAAGGTTGTCTGATAAGAAAGCATAACAATTAAGATAGGAGAGAAACAAAGAAAATAAAATCAATGTTATTAAAATACTACTTTTAAATGGAAGTTCAGTTTTTAAATGGTTTAGATGTCCTGATGTGTATTAAACAATTTTCCACTTATAAGAGAAAAAGAAGCAACCCTTTGGAGATTAAATAATATTACAACAAACAGCAAAATATGAAAAATAAAATATATCATAACCAGATAAGTAGCATGTACCATTGATCCTAAAGTCACAATGGCTCTGATAATATACAAATCATGAATGCAGATTTAAATCTATGAAAATCAGACAAAAATCACCAGATATTAGTGTTAAAATGCACACACACATACACTCACACACACACACACAAATGCAATACTCTTTATTGAAAGAAAAAAAAATGTCCCTCGCCTTCTCCTGCATGGAAGATGCTTTTGTGTGCATGGGGGGAGGTGATAAAACATTTATGATTTACAAATTAATAGGGATTTTCATTTTTAAAAAGACACTTACTGCTCAGTTAAAGGAGTGTCTTTGTCACAGTCAGATGGAAGGCTGTGATCTTCCTTGGGGGCATAAAATCAAAAACATTCTAAAGGGCTTCTATTTATTCAATCTATTTTGATTGCCAAAAAAATAATAATTGCCCACAGTAAAATGCAGGGTGGCAGCTCTATGGGCTGGTACCTGCATCTCACACATAAGGACGTTTTGCCTAAGATGGTTCACATAAAAGGCTTTGTTCTCCATCGCCTCACTGTGGTTGTAAGCCTCAATTTCAGTTTAGTCATTTCTTCTAACAGACTGACATTTTAACACAAATTATGTTTTTAACATTTGGGTTAGTTCCTTACTAATATGCATCACAGCCCAAACCATATATCACCCAACAATATTTCTTTTGTTTTGAACTACACATTTTATTCACAACATAATCCCCCAAACCTCAAAGCTCATTTTAAAAGATCTGTCTTCTAAGTATCCACTCCCTCCTATGATATTTATAGTTTATTATCTATGTGTGCATATAGGTGTATGCATTTTAATAAAAAGGCTTCACCTTTGCTCAATTTTAAAAGGTCTATGTCCTGGAAGCATGGTGCTAAAGGCTTACAACAGACAGTATACAGCAATTGTCACAAACGAGCTTGTTGCTAACCAAAGCTTTTTATATTTTCTGACAAAATCCTGAAGCCTTGATGCCAGGAGGAATAATATAAATTTCCAGTTTTCAAGGATGGTGTTTTAGGACTCCATCCTCTTTACTACCCCTCCCCCCCTCCTCCCACACACCCAAACATACACCTCCCCACTCCTGGCCCCTTGCACACTGTTTCTTGAAATTTCCATTCTTAGACAAAAGATCAGGTTGGGGACGGAAGTCGGCCAGCCCTGAACCCCTCCCCCCCGCCCCGAAGAAAGTCTTTAGAAAAGAATATAAGAATATATGGAGGGTATTCGCGGCTTTCCGCTCCCCATCCTTTAAAAAGAAAAGAAGACTGTGTGGGAAGCTGAAGTTCAACTAGTCTTTCTTTGGGCCCCGCCCTCCACAACGACCAAACATCAATTTTTCATTTTCCTAAAATTATAAATATATATCAGTCTTCCTCTTGCAGCTGTCTCTGGAGGAAATCACAGGGAAAAGTGATTTGAAACCCACAAGGCTCCCCTCACTCACCCACTCGTCAGTGTGCAGTTCTCTGCGGCTGGATGAGCAAAAAAGGAAAAAGAAAATCCTCTACCTTTAATTTCATTTTCCCATTATCTTTGTGTAACTCCCTTCCCTTCTTTCTACAGCTCAAGGTAATTTTAGCTTTCAGAACACGTACCCTAACCTGACGTAAGTTTCCAGGTGTTTCAAAGCGGTACCTCGCAAGGTCACTGGCTTGTCTACGAATCTACAGTCCAGGTACCAGCAGCGCCCGGTCCCCTGCTCTCCAGGTGACAGACACCTGGAAAGCTCGGGCCTGAAGCTTCCGCCAGGTGCCAGGTGAGAGACGGGACAGTGCCAACCTGCGCCTGCTGCCCAGGATCCGAGGACGAGAAAACTCAGTCCCCGCTCCCACTTCTTTTCTGGCTCAGGTCCCCTTTTTGCAGAGAACGAGGCCGAAGCACCAGAGATGGGGACGGATCTCTTACCTGGGCGCAGACACTGGATGCACCCGCGGTCGCGGCTCGCGGGCTTGGAGAGCTACTGCGCTGCGTCCGGGGGAGAGAAGGGAAGGGGACGGGACAGGGGAAGAGGGGGGAAGAAAAAGGAGGAGAAGACAGAGAGAAGAGGAAGGGAAGAAAGGCAAGAGAGGATGCCGCTGCTGCTGCTGCTGCCGCCGAGAGCCCGCGCAGCCCGAGCGCCCGCCCAGTCTGAGCGCGGCGCCCCTGCCGCCCGCTCTCCGCGCGGCTGCCCCGCCCCGCTCCGCCCCGCCCGCCGCCCGCGGGTCCCCGCGCCCCACCCGTCCCCGCGCCCCGCCCCGCCGCAGTGTCCCGGAGGGGGAGCGCGGCGGCCCCGCCTCCTGCCGCAGCCAGCCGACCGGGCCCCGCGGGGACAGCAGCCAGGTTGGGAGCTTGAGAGCCCCTCCCAGCCAAGGCCCAAAAGGCGATCCTGGGGCTGCAGCTATCCGGCTTGCTCCTGCCGTGCCTTCTCTAGGGAATGGTCCTCTTCCCCCACGCCAACAGACATCAGCGCTCTGAGCAGCGGGGACAACAAGCCGACCTTCTTAATGCCATTCTAGAGAATCCAGGACATCAGCTTTAGTCTTTTAGGGAGTAGCCCGCCAGAGACGCCCCTCTTTTCCTTCCTGTATCACTGCAAGGCAGAGGTTTCTGGGACCCTTCAGGGGAGAAAGCTCACTGGCCTTGTCTCTAAAACCTAAGGACAGGTGCATCAGAAATGACAAAGGAAGCATGAGGTATAGACCAACTCTTGTCAGTACAAAAGGAGCAATGGTTGAGGGTGCAGAGTATTCAAAACCAGATTAATTTGTACAGTTATGGTGCCAATAAACCAATGTTTATTGAAACCTAATTATGTGTGAGACACTGTTCTAGGCATTGTGGAAACATCAGTGAACAAACAAACAACCCACTCCAATAAGAAAAGATTTCTCCCTTCATAGACATTACATTCTAGAGAGAGCCATATGTACAGTCCTGAGACAGCTCACATACTCTACTCCAAGTGTGTCAGTGTGTCAGACGACAGCTAAAGCTATCACTACCACCCTTCTCACATGTTTACAAAGACAATAAGAAAGGTTCTTGGAGACTATGAAGAATGGTGCAAACCCAAAACGCAGAATATGTTGACCTTGAGATGTGACACCATTTGAAAAAAATCACCTAAGTATTTTTGAAAGGGAAAGGGCCAATTGAGAAAAATCGATGATTCTTCATCATGAAGTTTTCATAGTCAGAGAGCAGCACTTTAAGGTAAGAGAAGGAATATGCAGTTTAGGATGACTTCGTATGTCTACAGCAAGAGCTGAAGGTGTTTTTAAGGCCAGCATGTGTTTAGGCTTCCAGTTTAATGAGGGAGTTCTAATTTTGTGCCTGAAGAGAGAGTGTCTTTCCCATAGCATAATTCCCTGATTGACAGTAGACCGCGTGCTTCTCTTCTCTTCCTTAGAGATGGACATGGGATACCGACTGTCTAAGAAAGGACCTGTTCTCTTCAATACATGATTAGTCTATGTATTAGCCTATGTCCCAAACATTTCCAATCAGGTTTTTTTCCATGAGGTATGTCTCGTGGACAATAAAGAATAATATGGATACAGGTACAGAGTTGTCAGACTATCTTCCCTTCCAGGTAGAGAAGCATTGCTGATAGGTGGGAAAAGGAAGAGCTATCAAATGACCTCCAGGATTCAGCTATGTCTCTAGGTAGATTTGTTCTTATAAAACCAATAGAGTGTTTTGTTGGGTTGTTTTTTTTTTTAATCTTTTCTAACTGTGTTTAAGTCAGATTCCTGTCATTCACAGTTGAAGAAGCTTTGGGTAAAAAGGACTTGCCAACATTGATTTCCACAATTATCTTTCCTATCTCTAGGCTAAATACTTGGTTTGTGTCTCTTGGCTCAGAATGCTCAGTACATGAACAGTCATACACATTTCTCTGCCATAGACCTCATGGATTTTCAATCAGAAAATTATCAGGATAAATGTATTTCTACTGGTTAGAGAAAGTTCTGTTGTTGGATAGGAAATACTAACTGTCCCCAAAATCAGAGGTTAGGAAGGCCTCTGATGGAAAGGTTGAATAGCACAGTATTAAATGCTCCAGGCAAGCATGTCAGGAGCCTAGGTCTTAGAGTCTAATCTGCCGTTGCCTGCTTTGTGACCTTTACTATTATGAAGCTGTATTTTCTCATCAGCAAATGAGTAGATTCAACCACATGCCATCTGAGGTCACTTCGGTTTCATAAATCTGTTTTTGAAAATTTCCAAAGCTCAGCTGAGCACTTGCTTATTATACTGATGAACATAATTAAGTGGCCATTGCAGAACAATGAGCAAGGTTCAGACATATGCACAAATAATGCTAACATGATGTACAGTTGGCATGGTGGAGATATGGATGCAAGAAACAGTTATGACACAAAAGAACAGGGACTCAGCTCTGAAGATGTTAGGACCTTTTGCTTTCTCCATGTGAAAAGGGGACTTTGCTGTGTTTTGTTTCCAGTTGCATGCCTATTTGACTGACCAGATTGAAAAAAACCTACTAAGATCATGTGGACAATAATTTATCATTCTAAGAAATTTTTAATTGAGGTATGCTTGGCATTTGATTAAAAGTACAGGTCAAGAATGTTTAGTTTATAGCCTAAGCCAATAGAGATGACTACACTTTTGATTTTGTCTCTGCAAAGATTCACTTTGCATATTCTTCAACATCATATAAAATGATTCAGGCAATATATAGTTTTTTATGTCTGGCTTCTTTTTGTACACATACAGTTTGGAAATTTGTTATTTACTTTTTATCTTTTCAGTTTGTCTACAGTTATTCCTTTTTATTGCTGAGTAGTACTTCCTTTTATTGAAATAACATTTTTTGTATATTTATCTTCTATTTAGTGAACATTTGGATAAAGTTTCTGCATAGTAATAATAAGACTATCATGAACATTTTTAATGACCTTTGTCTATATGTTTTGTTCTTTTCAGTGAAATTTGATCCAAGAGTGAAATTTCTGGGTCAAATGGTAGGTATATGCTAAAACATTATAAGAAATTGACAAAGTAGATGCTCTCAGTAATGAGCAATAAGCTTTTATTAAATCTAATTGTTACTGTGACAACAACTACATACTTGGGGGAAAAAACAAACTAGAATCAGAGGAACATAAACAAAGCAGGCATGTTATAGGATAGAATTGATACTTGCAAGGAGAAATGGCACACTTCTTTTCATTTGCGATCGGATGGCAAATGATACCACCAAGGACAAAAACTATAGGAAAAATCATACTTTTTGTGGACTGAAGAAATAGAGGACACAGTTTAAGGCAATGTCCATGGAGAGGAAGTAAAGGGAGAATACAGAAAAGAACAGAACCATAAAGAGAATACAAATGTCTGAGTATAATCTATACCCAAATCTCCACATTATTTCCACACGGTGTTTATGAGCCCAGCAGACACAAAGCATCCAAGTTAAGGAGTAAAGAGCACAAACAAAACAAAAACCTGCACTGAGATTTGAGTTGCTTCCCAAGTTACAGAGGTTTGACTCTAACCCAATTAAATGGCTGCTAAGACAAAAATTTCCACAAAATTCAATCTCCAAAATATAATATTTACATTGTCTGAGAAACAATCTAAAATTATTCAACATAATTCTTCAGCTTCTCTTCAGCTTGTCTAAAACTTTAACCTTTTACTAAAATTACTCAACATACAAAGAACCAGGAAATGTGACCCACTCTCCAGAAAAAAATGTAGTAAGCAACAGAAACTAATTCATAGAAGATCCAGATGTTGGAATTGGCAGAAAAGACTTAGGATCAGCTACTATAAATAAGTACACTCAATGAAGTAGAGGAAATATAAAAAATATATATACAGAATCACAATAGAAAAACTGAAATTATTGAGAACCAACTTTTCTTAACGATTTCACTGTTTCCATGTTCATATTAACCATTCTCATTTCACATTTTGCATTGCAAAGCATCTGTTCTGATATTTTGTCAATTTTTAATACAATCATTTATTTTCCTACATATAAAGAAGAATTATACAGTGTTCTTTACATATTCTGAATATACTATATTGGTAAGATAAAGATTTTGAAAATATTTTACACAGTATGTTTTTATATCTCATTTTCTTAATGATCCATTAAGGACCTAATAAGAAGAGAAAGTAGAAAGAAGGACAAATTACTATGTCTTCTTTAGCTGGGCATGTTTTTCTACACTCAGATCTGTGTCCTGAGACTTAAATCAGTGCCCCTTTGTGGTTCTTACAGACTTTGGTCCTCAACTAGGAATTAAATCATCATCTTTGGTTTTCAGATCTTTGGGTTGGGGCTGATTTTTAAATATACAGTATCTGTTGCAGAACATTTTTAAAACTCCATTTTGCTGGTATCTCCTTTTAGTTTGAAGTATTCACTTTTCATTTAATATAATTATTGGTAAAGTAGGGTTTACATCTACCATGATACTATTTGTTTTCTACATATCTTTTGTTTTTTTATTCATCTGTTGTTCTATTACTTCTTTTTTATTAAACAGATTTTATAGTATAATATTCCCCTCTCCCAATACAGGGTTTTGTGTATATTAAGCACGTTTTGCTACTGAGCTACCCCCCTATATAATCTATTACTTTTATAGTCATTTCTTTTACTTTAGTCCCACCTTCTTTTTCAGTGGATGCTGGTGGTATTACAATCAATACTTTTTTTGATTGTATAAATATAGTCCATATTACTACCAATTTAACTTCAACAATATCAGTATAAAAATCCTTGCTCTATATAGAGGTCTTCCCTCCCCCATGTGTATCTTATTGGCATCATACACTGCATGCTCATCAAACAGATTTATAACTACTGTTTCTGAAGCGCTCTCAAATCAGAAAGGAAAGTGAAGGAGTTATAAACAAAAAAATACATTTGTACTGTCTATTCCAGTATCCTTGTACTTCAGATCTACAGGTGACAAATTTTCTCATAATTTTGTTGTCATTACAATTT